AACTTACCACCTTTTTGCCGCATCCTGGAACGTTTCTGAGCAGAGTTGCGTTTATTTTTGAAAAGTGGCTTTCGTCTCGACGCACGCCCCACCCATCGTGGGCGAGGCTTCGCTAAGTTTACGCATGTCCAACACGCATGAGGCCCTGCTCACTTTTCTTCTTTTTTCCTGACCTCTGCGCCTTAAATGAATTGAGCTATGAATACATTTGAGAAGTACCGCCCATTTTGAGAAAGCTCCGCCCACACCACGTGGGTCTCCTCCCTCTGATTTTTTAACCCAATCCTCACCTTTGAACATTTTTCCCCGATGTTTGAACTTTTTCGAAGCGAAAATAAGGTGTTTGACTGTTGGCACCGCCCACTCCGGTACATGCCCCGCCCCCGGTGGGCGGAGCTCCGCAGAGCTCATATGTGCTCTGTTAATTTTGTCTTAGGCTCCACCCATCCCGAACTTGTCCCGTCTTCTGAAGGTGTTTCCAGGTAAAACCGGATTGCGTGACAGACAGACAGACAGACAAACATACAAACAGACACACCAAACTTGTGGGTTATATATAGTAAGGATTCTTTGCAACAGGCCTGGCGTTGTCGTAGTGGAACAGCACCTTATGATGTTTCTTGCTTTAACGGCCACTTTTCGCTAAGGGTATCAGATAAATTGTCAAGCTGGTGTTCGTAGCGGTCAGGAAAAACAATTTCGTTTGGATTCAGTAGCTCATAAAACACAACACCCTCCTGATCCCACCAAATACATAGCGTCACTTCTTGGAATTGGATGTTCCGCTTTTGCTGTAAAACCCGTGGTTGGCTTAGGTCCAAATACGCTGCTTTCCAATTCGGATTATCGCAGTAGATAGAAGATACATTTCTTATCCCCGTCACAATCTGTTGAAGAAAATATTTCCTTTTCTGAACTTCGAGGTTTTTCAGCAAGCCTTCTCGCGTGCTTAGAGCTGCTTTCCTGATAGCTAGCAGGAACCGATTTTCCTAGCTTTCGTAGCTTTCCTTTTGTGTGCGCAAGCGTCTGGAAATAGTAGCGCGGTTGAAGTTTAGCCCTACTGCCATCTCTGTTTAGGTCTGACAATGAGCTGAATTTCATCCAGCAATGCTTGCAATTGCAAATCCGTTGACTTTTTCTTCTGTCCCAGACATTCCTGATCTTCCAAGTCGAAATTTCCACTTGAAAATCTTTGAAAACATGTTCTGCAGATTCGTTCAGATGAAGCTTATTCTAAATAAGTATCGAAAAGCATCCGGTGGGCCTCACTGACAGTTTCCTTGAAATCAAACAGCAGGGGGAGGGCTCCTCGGAAAAATGACTTATCATGTTCCAAATCTAATCAGTTTTAGAGTGACGGGGTTTTCTAGAAAACTGATCCATAAATATGTACACAATAACCTTGTTACAAAATGTGACAGGTCTCATAGGTAAGCCTACAACATGGCTCGCGCAACGACCCTTTGAACTGGGCGGCGGAAAATAATGCGCACACCTAATACTTCTGAATGCAGGTAATTATATTTTTTGCAGTCCTAAGAAATCGTCGCATCCGATTGAGATTGTTGTTCGACACAGTAAAGTAGTGGAGCAACCATCAAGTTCCAGCAATGAATGTGAACGTAACAATGAAGATAAAACTAACCAAGTAAGAAGGCTATCAACTTTAGTCGAAGGTAAGACAAACGGTCAGTCCGTCAACAAGGTTCCAAAGAATGTTATTTTTTGTATTTATAGGCAAGGAAAGCGAGTCACAGAAGCCTTGTTCATCTTCGGCTGCTAAAGGGTCTACTTCGAAGTGGACTCGTGGGCACCGTCGCGCGTGGAGCATGCCCAATGCTAAAGGTGAAAAGATGACGCTTGCTATCATTCAGGACAAGGAAACAATGGTGAGCAACTTGGATTTTTGCTACAGATAAATCAGATAGATGTATATTTTAGCCCTGACATGTATCTAATTGAAGTAAGTATCCTTACAACGAAAAGACGGAGTTTCACACAGTCCTTACAACCTTCTCTTCTTTCAATTGGTGCCAATTAGAAAAGATCATAGAGCAAGTTATCGCAGGCGAGAAGTCCCTGAAAAAAGATCAATAAATGTTGTTTCTCTAGAGAAAAAAGGTTCTTTCACTGTGATGGGGGAGTGCAGGAGCGAGAGCATTTGTCTAAGAACACAAATTTGTTACACCAATGCTTGACTCTTATCTCTTTTCCGCATTTATTGGGTGAGACACTTCTTCGAGCGAGTTCTAGTCAGTAGCCATATTTAACAATTAAGGATTTTAATTTCATTTTTACAGACAAATGGGAACACTCATAGACGCCGTGTGCTTCGATGTCGCCTTCATCCTTCGAGAAAGGAAGAGGGATCAACTAAATTCAATGAAGAAAGCAAAGATAGTCTCGTTTCGACTGCATTAAAATTTGACCTGAGTGGAATGCCTCCTCCTGATGAGGACGACAACGAATTGGAGGTTTTTTCTTGTCCACTATCATAGTGTTGGAGTCGATCGCTTTTTGACAAATCGGGATTGTTTATAGGTTGAAATTAATGAAGAGGAGGTCGTAGTGCCCGGTGAGTCAGGGAAAGGAGCGAGGACAATCATCAAAAGGGTTTGTTCGTAGAGTGCCACGATTGGTCTGGTGCCGCTTATATCACTAATTTTCTCTGCTATCACAGTTCTGGGAAGCGAGATGGAAAGCTACGAATTTTGAATATCTTCCTGAATGGTTGCAAGACAACGAATACCTGAGAACTGGTATGTTTATGCAAAGCCACTCGAAACAGCTTGGTGGTTCTTTTGTGCGTTTTCCCACAGGGATGGTAGGTGTCATTCCATGATCGCGTACTCTTCATTTGTTTATTTTTTGAAAGTGTCAATCAAGGTCATCGTCCACCACTTCCATCCTTCAGTAGCTGCTTCAAAAGCATCTTCGCACTTCACACAGAGACTGGCAATATTTGGACTCACATGTACGGTCAGTTCTCAGTTCCCATGATGGTTACGGCTGTGTTTTTCACTATCGTTCTCGTTCATTTCCAGAAGTTAGAAGGCACTGAGCATGGTCTTGTCATCCATGTTACATTAAAACCCTTGATCCTATCATTATTATCATTATCATTATCTTATCATTTATATCCAAGAATTCAGTCGATTATAGCAAACGGCTTAGGTGGATCGATGCATGGATTGGTGGATGAGGCTCTTCTTCAAGCGTGAGATGATCACAGTAGAAATCGAAACTAGCCTTCATGAAGGGAGAAATGTGAATGGGAGATAGCAATTGGAAGATTGAACGTAGTCCAGATGTTTGTTGGAACTGGTTCACTGAATGTTTCTGTGTAATTCTGGGTGTTTGAAAGAGCCGACTACTTCTGAGGAAATCTTTAAGCATCAGAAAAGTTCGGGCAAGATCTTGCTGTGGGTCATGATTGGGTTGAGGTGTACGGAGGCCGATTCTTAGCTCAGGTGTCGGCAAAAAAGCATATTTTCGGAAATACTTACGAATTAAGCTGGGCGGGTTGAATGGAATGATCGATTTTTGGAAGAAAGGACTGAAACGATTATCTTTTACATCACGGAATTATGAAAGATGTAATTTCACAAAGTTACGAGCCATCGTTCGAAATCATCTGTCAATCGGGAACGCAGTAGCAAGCGGTTCCCAGACTTGGGAAGTCGTCAGCTTAGCATCATGAAAAAGAGCGGTTTCAATGGTACAAACCATAAAATGTTTAGGTTGTGTGGCTTTCATTGGCGTCGCTTTTTGGTTTCTCACTCGCCCATCGTCACAAATACAATTCATGGACAAAGTCGTGTTTTCAACTTACTTTTTGGGAGCTATACTATGCCTCGGCATGTCATTCATTTTTCACACGGTCGCTTGTCATTCAGACACCGTTGGAAAACTATTCAGCAAGTTAGTCTTGCCCTCTTTTTTTACTCAGAATGCACCAAATTTTCAGTTTTCGTTCTTATTGAGTAGTGTCCCCTAACTGTAGATATTCATAGCAGTGGGGCATAAGGCCAAAACTCTCGATTTCATTGCACATTCTGCTAACCCTCGGTTTTTTTTCATCAGAAGCTGTTAGGATGAATTTGCGATTCACAGGTTGGATTATGCTGGAATCGCTCTTCTCATTGTTGGTTCATTTATACCATGGCTTTACTATGCGTTCTATTGTCGTCCACAACCAATGATGATCTATATAACGATGATCAGTGTGTTAGGACTGCTAGCGATGATTGTCTCTCTGTGGGACAAATTTGCTCAGCCGGCATTCAGGTTTGTTACATTACATTCATGATCACTGCATATTTCGTATTCAAGTTATGGTTGTAAATGTTTATTTGCATGCTTCCAAAACCAATATTCAGACCGCTACGAGCTGTCATTTTTGTTGCCATGGGACTATCAGCTGTTTTTCCCGCCGCACATTTGCTATTTGTGGACGGTCTTGAGTTCCTCTATAAGAAAGTGTGTCTACATACTTTTGTCAGAGCCATGTTTTATTGCTTTTATTAGTGGCTCCTATTTTAGGCGTCCCTGGTGTGGATGCTGCTTATGGG